CAGGCATCCCGTATTAAAGATTATTATTATTTTTGCCGAACTATAGGATAAAGCTCGTGATTTTGCGAAAAAATAAGGAATAGTTAAGTTTTCAACTAGAGATTCTGAAAAATCGAGCCGACATACTCAAACGAGCATGTTTCTTGTTTTTTTTTAATTCATTGATTAATAAAGTATTTTTGATATAAATATTCGCGCTTATACCAAAAACAGATATAATTAAGTAGTAATGTAGGTGGTTTTCGACCCGGACTTTTCAGGGTGTGGAGGATCAATGTGAGGTAATTAAATATTCAGGGTGAGGTAATTAAACATTCTATCAGGGTATTGATATTCAGAAAAATGAGAGTGAGTGAGAGTGGTTGTCATTCGTAACAATGTTGCGAATTTAACAGTTTTGCATCTTCGCTAAGTGAAATAAACACAAATTTATGCTAATAACCTTATTGGATATATAGTTGCTGAACGTTTGTTGAGCACTGTAAAGCAATCCAAGATTTAGAAAACATCTAAGCATTGCTTAAAGACAAATTTAAAACCCAAAATCGTCCACAAGTATTTGTGGATGATAATAAATATTTAGTTTTTAGCAATGCGAAGTGTAAACGCTCCAGGTATAATAATTATTAGGAGCGGTTACGGTGCCAACCTGGGCATGTTTGGGCGAACCAGTCATTAAACTGTGCTAACACAATAGGCTAATGGGCGAACAGACAATCCTTTTGCTGAGTGGGTTTTATAGTAATAGACTTTACTGTTTTGGCATGTTTAAAAGTTGAAGCAAAGACATATATACGAAAAATGTTGAGCAGACTTAGCAGTTGCTAAGCACAAGTTAACATAGTTGTCAACGCCGTTGTTATGGTCGATATTTGCATATTACAAGTCATAAAAGTCACACCCCCCCCAATACAATTTTTATTTCACACGAGAGAGACAAATACAATCGAACAGGGGGTTTATTCCTCTTCACGAGATATATCCAAATTTGTCCTATTCTACTAGAATTTCAGATGCATTTCCGAGCTCTTAGAAGTTGGGAGTGTATTCACCGAAACCCTCCTAGCTGATTTTGGACCGCATATATTCTATATTTCAGAGTAGCTTTAAAATGCACACACGACTTCGTCATCTAAAACACTAGCTTTTACAGTTTTAAATGAGGTAACGGCAAGTTTAAATTAAGAATCAGTGAATTTGTACCATTACAAAACCAAATGAAATGTAAATCTTGTGCATTGTCTGCTATACTTCAAGTATATGACATAAGCCACAATCTCCAACTGTCTGTGACAGTGCTGGTAACGCCGATAACAGACAGCTGTTGTGTGAAAAATATACGTGAGAAAAATATGAACAGAACTTCGACGTTTCGTGCGAAGGCCCTTTGTCGGGAAGTTAGTAGCCTTTGCTTCAAACGTCAAAGTTCTGTTATATTTGTCAGGTAGTTGTATCTTTCTCTCACACTGCAGCCGTCTGTGATAAGCCACGCCTGTATTTGTCGACGGCCACGCCCATTTAGTCGGCAAAATCGTGAAATTTCAAATGCAACAACTTTACATGTGCTTATTCGATTACCTACACCAGAATACAAATCGTAGACGAAAAAACGCAGTGTGTAAACGTTTTTAAAGGCACAGTGTCACCTGCTGAGCGATGTGACTTAGTCAGCGTGAAACTTTGAAAAAGTTTGTGAACTTTCTCAAAGTTTCACACTTGTGCGAAAGAAGTGGCGATATTATTGCTCGATATATGCCTCGTTATGTCATAAAGGTGGGCATAATTTACACCGAAGTTCAATACAGATTTATCAAAATATGAATTTACGTCTCTCAACATGATAAATAATATAAAATTACATTTATTTATTGTCATTTTGTCGCGGTGGCGTAAAACCACATCGCTCAGGAGGTGACACTGAGCCGTTAAACGTTCTGACCGTTTATACGAGTCGTTCGCGACTTAAAAATTAACTAGAAATACATGCATGCAGCAACTCCTCGCCCATATTTTCCAAACATTGATTTAACATGAAGTATTAGTAATTGATAAACACTGAACGCAGGCTCGAGTTTACGTCATTGTTGCCACGGCAACACGAGTATTTTTATCACATTTTTCAATTCTTGTACAACACGGCAAAAATAGTCGAAAGATTATTGCTTTTAACCATATAACAATGAAATTTCCGAAATATGTACTGTAGGTATGTTGTTCTGGATTTTGTGAGCTTTAATGTAAAATTTAACGTGAATCGCTTCGTAAAATGTTTTGAAATGTTCGAAATTAACTAAACTGCTTTTGCCGATAAACTTTTTTATACTTCAAATTGTTCAGTAATTTCAGTTAGGTCTTCAAATTAATTTGCTCTTCTTTACATTTACTTTTTTTCTTAAATTAAACAGGGTTGTTTAGAAAACTTGCAGCTTCTTTGAAAAGGAAAACAGCAGTGCATATTTTACGCAATAAATTATTTAACAAAGCAACAGAACTCATAAACATTAAACATTCAAAGCAAACTTGCCACATATTTCACGATTTTCCACAGTAAATCAATTCTTCTCATTTCTTCAAACAAAAATTGCTTCAAAGCTCATTGTGTGAAACATGATTTTCCGAATATATGCTTTTGAAACTTGACTAATCTTGCTTTAATATCCTCAGTGTGTTTATCCCACTCCTGGCGAACAGCGATATTTTTGAGATCAGTGAGGAGGTCCACCCTTGGATCATAGCCATGCGCCCACCATATTTGATGAACTTTAGACCACTGAACTATATAACATGGAAAGCTGACTTCAGTCATTGACGTAATCAAAAAGTGAAGCCAAAAAGCAAAAAAGGAAATAAACTTTATTTATTTCATGTAAACCTGATTTCCTTCATATAATCTATCTGTCTACTGCATTTTCCCACTGTATGTGTGAGTAAATCTGTATTTTTCGTTGCGAATTCAACAACTAGTTTCAAACTTTTTTTGTTTTTTTTTTATTTAAAATCTGTATTTTTATAAATTGGGAATTTATTTTTGCTTTGGTTGTTTTGTTTTTTGTTTCTAAGGTGCTTTTCAGTTTTCACACCATTATTTAGCTTATTTTAGTCCGTTTTCTTGACCTAAAACTGCTTTTTAACTGCAGTTTTCGAGGCAGTTTTTAGCCAATTTAATTCCATACATGTAAGAAAATTTTTATTTTTTATTTAATAAAATCACTTTGATGATTGCCTTTTAAACTTAAACTGTTCATTTTAATGAGTTATTTATGTGTGTGAAACCCTTGTCGATAGGGGCAATAGAGATATTTTGAAAGATTGAGTGACATTTGTGTTTTGTTTTGTCACTTTTTGTCATTTACAAAAACAGCAATCCCGAGCTATTTTGCTTTCTTTCCACTCAATTATCGCATCTTCTAAAAAATAATAATTAAAATTTAGAACTTAACCCAAACAAAACACCAGAATTCAACTTTTCATTCAAATTTCGTATGTTTTTCACCAAATTTTCGCTCGGAAAATAAAGAAAAATATAAAAGTTTTTGTTGACCGCGCACGTAAGGGGACGGAGAATGACGCTCAAGAATGGCTTCAATTTCCGCCATGTTGGCTTTAGTTTTTGAGCTCGAGTCAGCCTTCCATGTTATATAGTTTAGTGCTTTAGACTTCGCTAGTGTGTTCCTTTCCCCGGGTGTAAATAGCCGGGCGGAATTAGTACCCTCTCCTCGGGCTAACGCCCGGAACGGCGCTCCGCGTCGTTGACTCGGGGATTAAGGCTTATTTTTACTCGAAAAATGGTCACATTCCAATAGAAAGTTGACTACTTTATATACAACCTGCCCTAGTTTCATCGTTCAAGACGAAATTACAATTAACCCGGGTTATTTTTTCCCTTAGAAACAGGAAAAGCGCGTCGGAGATGATATTTTGAAAAATAGTTCTAACTTTTATTTTGAAAAAGATCGCCAAAAACAAAATATTTTACTGCGTTATTTACCACAAAAGGATAAGCAAATGAAAAGGTTCCAAAATCTAATTACTGTACCTCTAAATATAGGATCGCTGAAAAGGGTGATCAAACTGAATTGAGGAAGGACTCGCTGTTTATAATGGACCATCCAGATTCAAAACATTCAAAGGAACAAGGAGAAGAATTGGAAGAATCATGCTTTGCAAACCTTTCCTTAGGAGAGTGTTATAGAATGGAGAATCAGTTTCAAACGGCAATTGGATGCTATGTGAAAGCTTTGGAAATTGCAAAGGAGCATGAATATAAGCAACACGAAATAGCGGCGTTATTTGGGTTAGGACATGCATATAGATTGGACAATGAGATTCAAACGTCAATTGACTACTATGCGAAAGCTTTGGAAATTGCAAAGGAATGTAAAGATAAACGAGAGGAAACAGAGGCATTAGTTGAGTTAGGAAGAGCTTATAGATTGAACAATCAGTTTCAAGCGGCCATTGGACACTATAAAAAAGCTTTGGAGATTGCAAGGGAGCACGAATATAAACAACTGGAAACGGAATCATTAGTTGGGTTAGGAGATGTTTGTAAATCGAACAATCAGTTTCGAACGGCCATTAGACACTATGAGGAAGTTTTGGAAATTGCAAAGAAACATGAATGTAAACTGGAAGAAACACAGGCATTATTTGGATTAGGAGATGCATATGGATCGATCAATCAGTATCAAACGGCAATTGAGTACTATAAGAAAGCTTTGGAAATTGCCAGAAGAATAAAACATACAGAAGCAGAAAGAAAATCATTACTTTGCTTAGGACACTATTATAAATTGAACAACCAGTTTCAAAATTCTATTCAGTGCATTGAAGAATCCTTACAAATTGAGGAAAGACCAGGAGATAGAAAACACGGAACGACGGCAGAGAATACAATGAAAAGCTCGTCAATAATTTTAGGTAAGCGTTTATCAAGCTTGTCCGCTGCTTTTAAAGCGTCACCCAGAGAATCAGGGTCGTAGCGAGGGGGGTATTGGGGAGGGGGGGGGGTGGTTAACCCCCCCAACATTTGTAGAATTAACATATTCGGAAAATCAGGTTGGCCATTCGGAAAATTACGGCAATAATAATATAACAAAATTTTAGTTATTTAAAAAGAGAAAATATTACTGTATAAAATGATATTGTCAGTATAAACCATTGGTATAAACTGATTTACGAAATCACGGCATTTACATGGATAACGTAAAACAAATCGTAAATCGGTAAAGTTTTTCGGTTTATTATTTCTCATAGCAGCTAGTCGGGAAAGGGGGGAGGGAAGACTGGGGGCAGCAGCCCTTACAATAATTTGCTGATAATCATTCTTTTTTCAAAATCATGCACACCTTTATCATTTAAATAATATACTTTTAAAATACTGACAATAGACTAGAGGTGTGCATCGGAGAGGATTGGACGTTTATAATCCGACAATTGCCTAATGTTTAAAATCCAAGCCGATCCGAAATTGTTTAATCCGAATCCGATCCGAGTTTTGAAAAAGAATTCCAATCCGATCCGATCCGAAGAATTCTTTAATAAAATAAATTTCTCATTCAACTTGAAATATTTAACCAAATAAATATAAAAGCAAAAAATACATATCAAGAAGCTAACAAAGTGACGTCCAATTGAAGTATCAAACGAATAATGCAGCGACAACCGCGATGATACTTTGATAAATGCATAGATAATTAATTCTTGCGATAATGCATGGATAATTCGTTTTATTTCGGATATCGAAGTCCGATCCGACCCGACTACGAAACAACTTTATCAATCCGATCCAAAATTTATATTTTGATTCCGAAATCCGAACGAATACGATCGGATTCGGATCGGATTTGCACACCTCTACAATAGACTTTTCCCCTTTTGAGTGAAATTTTGATCTAGACAAGCCTGGACAAAAATTTCACCACAGCTTGAAAGAGCATCACAAAATGAGTAACATTCCGAAGTTTCGTTGAATGTTGTAAAATGCGGATAATATAGCCTTGCGAAGTTTGCCGTTTTTCAGTCATTTTGCATTACAAACGGGAAATTGATAATCAGATGATGAAACTGATTATCAATTTCCCATTTGTAACTTACAACGACTGAAACGCAAACTTCGCAAGGCTATATTATCCGTATTTTACAACATTTCGCAACGAAACTTCGGAATATTACTAATTTTGTGATGCTCTTTCAAGCTGTGATGAAAATTTTGTCTAGGCTTGTCTAGATCAAAATTTCACTCATAAGGGGAATATATTTAGTCATGCTCGGAAACACCTTCCAACAGCTGAAGGAAGACGAGAAAGCAATTGAGTCTTATCAAACAGCCATAGATATTAGTAAATAATTGAAAGATGAAGAAATGCAAGTGATCGCGGAGCAGAGATTATATAGGAACTTCATATTTAAATTTGGCATTAGTTTGTAGTGAAAATGGTGAACACGAGGCATCGGTGAGATGGTACAAAAAGGCATTGGATATTTTTGGAACAGAGCTGAATGATGAATTACGAAGAAACGCCCTTGATGGTTTGGCGGTTGCCTGGTTTAATCTTGGATATACTGAGAAGGCAATTGAGCCGATTCAAGAAGCTAAAAATATTTCCGAAAAGGAATACAACGCAGGTATTTATTTTGATTCAGGCTTAGGGACAGACAATGGGAGGGGTGACGATTATCGGGGGGAGGGGTGTCGATTCCCCAAATATGTATTTAAACTCTACGTCGATCGGTAAAGATAACTAAGAAACTATATAGCTAGGTTGTCAAATTTAAAACTTATTAATTGTAAAAAGCTGATGTAGCTTTAAAGTACAGAGAACACCGGTAGCTCGAACTCCCGTGAGAAACGAAATATTTTTTGAGTTAGCCGAGGTTTGAGTTAACGCTTCGGTCTTGGATAATAATAAGGTAAAGTCGTTTTATTACTCATCACAATTGTGAGCCATTACGCGGTACACTCTACACTGCAGAACTTACAAAGTTTGTACTGCTGTTACTTAAGTTAAACAATATCTTTCACAATGGACTGTATACCCATACCAACAGTACCTGTAAGCTAGATCAGTAATCAGTATCGACGTATACTACGAGCAGGCTCTCAAGGTGAAATGAGACATACAATTTTGAATATCTGCTCCGTAACGTTCGTTTTTCCAAATAAGGAATGTATTTCCTTATATGGTTTTGTTTACAACTTTCGTGCAACCTAAACTTAGACTGTACAGCAATCTCGTACCCAGAGCATGCCCATTCGCAGGTTAGGTGTTTCGCATGACCTAACCTGCGAACGGGCATACTCTGGCTATGGAATTGACTGTACAGTTTATGTTGTTTTTAAAAATATAAGATATTCAAGCAAAAGCTTGAACGTTTTAAATGCTGTTTTCTCAAAACAGAACATTTCGTGCCTTGAGATAAAGTGGCCAACACCAATTTTGATCAGTTCATGTGTGACTGTTTTTTATACATAGTGCTTCAGCCGTTGACATATATAGAGCTCAGCGGAAACATATAAATTATAGCATCTGACCAATGAGAATTTCGCGTCCCGATTCGAGACGCAGATATTCAAAATTGTATGTCATCAGTGCAGGCTCTCATTTCATCTTCAGAGCCTGCTAGTATCGACGCAACTTATTGAATCTTTTATTATGTTTGTATGCAGGTTGTACAAAAGGCAGTCCAAATTTGGCAATTATTGTGCATTATATTTACGTTTATTCATTTATTTTTTCATACTAATAAAGATCAGGCATTTAGCTGTTGAATGATACATTTCTTGTATATCATTGCGATCAAAAATTGCCGAATACTGAAGATCCGTTTTAAAAATGTCGGTCGATATCACATTTTTCCACCGTGGGGAATTGCATGTAAAGCTATTATCTATGTATTGAAATTATTCTCATTTAGGAATCAAATTGTCCCTTGACTCAAGGGCCTTGAGTAAATATGGCGCAACGTATGTGTAAGCATCAAGTTTTGATAAACTTTTACACGCAATTTTATATCGAAATTCATGAGTGGATAAAACAGTTTACATGACTGGAAGCTTGCACGCAAAGTTCAGCGACAACATGCTGGCGACTTATTTATGTTGCCACTAATACTTCGGGAAGTTTCCTCAACTGTACATGATATAATTGTTTTTGTTTGTGGAAACACCACGTAAATTTATTACTGCAAAGCTTTCGATCCGTAAGCCCGGATCTTCATCAGTGCTAATAATATGTGACTTGTTTAATTCACACGCTCTTTTTATATACAAGAGTGTCGTGATCTGTTGGCGCGCGTCATTTGAAATTTAATTAAACGGCACATCAACCACGTCATTTCAAAACGTAGTGAAGTGATTCCAATTAACGCGCGCGCATCCAAGACAAGAGAAATTAATTTTGCACATTAAAGAGAGCACGCCACGTACTATCTAGTGGCTTTCCCTCCTGATCTATAGTATTGTGCTTCTCGATTTCAATTGACTCTCTCATTTTGCGAGAGAACTTATGACTATCAATCGCCAAAATGGTTGCTTCGTCCCATTTTATACGATGGTCGTAAGTCCAAGTATGTTTAGCCACAGCAGATTTATCTTGCTCGGCTTTCTCGCAATTCGTCTTGTGTTCCTTAAGACGTACTGAGAGATTTCGACCAGTTTCACCAATGTAAACCAGACCACATTCACAAGGAATGCGGTACACACCAGGTTTCTGAGATTCATTTACGTTGTCCTTATGTGTGCAAAGAGCTCGAAACAATTTGTTTTCGCTGGAATGGTATACCTTTATACCTGCTTCATTCCTCAAAATTCTTTCGATTTTGTGTGAAGCCGGACCAATGTATGGTAGACTAACAGACGACTGATATTCAATCTTCTGCTGTATATTTTGTGGCGTTTTCATAGCATTATCTATGAAATGCCGTGGGTAACCATTCATTTTTAGAACATTTCTTAAATGTTCTAATTCATCGTCAATGTTACTTACCTCACAAATTGTTTTCGCTCGGTTGATGAGTGTCTTGCACACAGAGTTTTTAATACTAGGATGATGAAATGAATTATAATGCAGATACCTGTCTGTATGTGTTGGTTTCCTATAAACCTTATGTCCTAGCGACCCATCATCATGTATAGTGAAAAGAACATCTAAGAACGGTATAGTTTTATCATCCTTCTGTACTTCAAAAGTAAACTTGATCGATGGATGCAAACTATTAATGTGGTCTAGAAACTTTTGTAAATTATCTAGTCCATGAGACCAGCTACTCAATGTATCATCCACGTATCGGAACCAGAAAGCTGGTTTCAACTTTGCAGTAGCTAAGGCCTTCCTTTCAAATTCCTCCATGAACAAATTAGCCATAACAGGCGACAATGGACTTCCCATTGAAGCGCCGTTTGTTTGTTCATAGAATTTCTCCCGCCATTGAAAACATGTCGTGGTCTAAACATAGTTTCAACAAATCATGAACATTCTCAGGAGAAAGATTAGTTCTTTGAGATAATGTAATATCTGAAAGAAGTCTTTCTTTCGCGATATTACAAGCCTCTTCAACTGGAACATTAGTGAACAAGCTAACTACGTCAAAACTTACCAGAATGTCATTCTTACCCAATGTAATTTGTTCCATTTTTGTTACAAATTCTTTAGAATTTACTACATGATGATCTGTTTTTCCAACAACTGGTTTCAATATCTCAGCGAGATATTTAGCCAGGGCATACGTTGGCGAACCTATGGACGCTACAATAGGTCTTAGTGGGACATTAGGTTTATGTATCTTAGGTAAACCATAAAATTTTGGACAAACAGTAGCTGAAGGTCTCAAACAATTATGAAGTGTTTGAGACAAAATACCTGCCTTTTTAAAACCAGATAGTTTGGAACATATTTTACGTTCAATGTTAGCTGTAGGGTCTCTTTTAAGCTCTTTATAAGTTGGAGTGTTTAAAAGAGCCAGGATTTTATTATCATATTCTAGACGATCTAAAATGCTGAGCAGCTCTCGTGGCGACGATCATGGGGTTACGGTTCTGTCGAAAATGGAAATTTGGACTTTTGACAAAGCAAAGTTCGTCGTGTGTCGCGGGAATTGCCGCAATGGTGAAGAAACCAAGTTTTTTCGAAAGAGGAACGTTCGTGCTATTAGACGATTTGAAATTTATTGCTCTGCGACGATTCTGAGGCGAGATATTGGACTCGATGTCGGAGAGTATATCAGATAAGTGGCTAGCCTTGTAGTTATTTATGTCCTATACGGCCATGTCGTCCAGTGCCATAGTACTGACGACCGTTCAAGTACGACGAAAACGTAAAGCAATCGCATCAACTAGACTCAGAAACACAACAAATGGATTCTAGTAACAAGTGAGATATATTTTTTACATAAATTACAAATTTTGAAATTATCATAATAATAAATTCGCGGCACATAACACTAACCCTAACCCAACCCCAACGCTAACCACTAACCCCTAATCCCTATCCACTAACCCCTAACCCCTAACCCCTAACCCTCATTTTTTTAACTTTTAAATTTTTTTTAAAAATCTAAATTTTAAACTTTTCTTGCTTTTCAAAACTCTTTTAAAACTTTTTAAAACTTTTTTAAAATCTATTTTTTTAAAAAACATGAAAAACTCACACACAAAGGTTTCAAGATACTGTGTATAATTTCATTCACAACTGTATCTTAAACTACATACATACGGAAACCAACCTGTCACTGTCAAAATATTCAGTATATTCTGATTTGATAACTACATGTTTACACATGAATAATTTCGTTTCCATATATGCCCCTTTCACTATACAGGCACATATTTACTTGAGTATATATGTATCCTTCCATGAAAGTACAATAAAATCCCAAGTGATTTTCTTTGGTCAATACGTAAAAATTACTTATAATCATTATTAATCAACAATGTTTATTTAATTCTTTATAAAAGATCGCACGCAAGCAGCTGCATGGATACAAAATAGACAGTTTACACTCGACTAGTTTTCTCTCAGTTTGATCCTCGATCTTTGATAAGTATTACCGTTCGCTATTCCACAATTTGTTGAAAGAAATCTCAAGAATCTCACTCAGGAAAGTTAAATTTATCGTAAAATAATAAAACTCGAAAACGTCGCGCCTTCCCGCTGCCATGTTTGACAAAATCAATCGGCTTCGCTCCCCCCGGATTGAAAACTAAATTATTACGAAAAGTCCAATATTTTTGGAGTCACGTGACCAGTGTTTACCAGGGCCTTTGCTTCCCGTACCAGAGCCTCTGAACCGCGCAAAGGCCCTGGGTATGAGGTTGATGTGAGGCTTCCCCTACATGGCGCCGTTTCATACAATTGCAAGTCAAAGTAACCATATGCAAACATATTATTCAAATAATAAAAAAGATAGCAAAGTTAAATATTGGTTATTGTTCAACTAAATTTAGAATAGAGTTACAGGTACATAGTACGGCAGAATATTGGAAACGAAAAATATAGATGCGGCAATAAATACATGCGGCAAAAGCCTCGAGCGAAATTTCGTTTGCACGTTTACAAACAAGCAAAACTCATGCATTTGATATTATATACCGCCCGACATAATATATTTATCCTTGCCCATGAGAAAAATTATTTAAAAAAACAACAATACAAGTAAAAAGTAAAGATCGTAACCATCCATCACCCCGAATTTAATGCGAAACACGTGAATTTATAGAGAAACACGTGCGTTGCTTCATAGCTCGTATTCCAGCGTGTTCCGGGTGGGGTTCCGGGTGTTCCGGGTGGGGTTCCGGGTGTTCCGGGTAGGGTTCCGGGGATTCCGGGAGGGGTTCCGGGTGTTCCGGGTAGGGTTCCGGGTGTTTCGGGTAGGGTTCCGGGTGTTCTGGGTGGGGTTCCGGCTTTTACAGACACCCGCTTTAATTAATATTAAGACAATTAACATTCTGATGAAGTCACTTTGGCGTGATTGACATTTGACATGCATATAAATAACAAAGAATTATATTAATATTGTTCATCAGGCGATATACATGGACGGTATAAAGACTCAAAATGAATGTTTTACAGCAACGATTTCTTGCATTTGTGACTTTTTGGCAGACATAGAGATTACTAGAAAAGGACTTGGAGATTGATAACAAAATCACCGGCTTAGTTACTGCGCTTCATGCAATTCAGAATTTGTTTGTTTACATTTGAATTCAATTACTGAATTAGTGAAAAACACCAATTTTTAGGTCGCTCGTTAACATCGAACCAGACAGAGGGCAATAATGAAATTTCTAACACAGGTTTAGCGTAACATTTACTTTAATACAGTGAAATTTTGAGTTTGTCCGATTTGTCCCACATGCTCATTTCCCTCGTCGAAAAGAAGACACATCCAAAAATTGCCACAATTTAAATCGGTATTTTTAACGTCTGACTAATTATAACGGGCTATTATTGCTAACAAGAATTCTTTGAAGGCTTGTTTTTATGTGTGGATAACATGAATGCACTCAGGCAGATATCTTCCAAGATATTATAGTTCAAATCTACGACGAATTTGTATTTTTTCCATTCTGCCAGTATGTTGATCCCCCGTTATTTACGACATCCTTCATCACATACATTAACGATGTATTTGTTTAGAAGAGCAGTCTCAGATTTACTACTCTACCAAATTTTGTTTGTTGAGTGATAAACGAGATATTGATGTGCGAATTATGCCGAAATTACAAATTCTGTCAAAATGGCGACTTACGCCATTGACAATCGCGCAGTGTTTTGCTCATAGGTTTTGCTTATATTTCCTGAAGTACTTAATGTCATCTGGCAAAAATTCACACAAATTCTAATTATATAATGATCTAAAAGTGTACTAAAAATCAAGTAAATCTGTAATGCTTGTGCAGGAAGTTTAGTCGATTTGGCGTGGAATGACCCGATTGCCAGTATTAAAATGTATGGCAACAGGCAGGTTAGCATCATTGCCAATGATGCTAACAGGTTTCGCATTTGGCAACCCGACAAGGAAACGTGGCATTCTGTGATAACGAATCCTGTGATAGGGAGTTATGAACTAGGGTTTCACGGATATTTTTGCTATGTTGAAAAGAGACTAAAGGGTTATTGGAGAAAGTGCAAGTGTTTTGGGTCGTTTTCCAAAATACGGAAATTTTTCCTAATGACATCTCTAACTTGATAAGTTAATACCAGGATTAGTTAATACCTGGATTAGTATTAGTTAATGATAAGTTATTACCAGGGGAATTTTTTGTTACCTGTGACGTTTGACACAGGATCTGTAAGAATCTCATCACATCGAGGAATTTGAGAAGCCTTTGAGGAGGCAGTTTCTAATACAAAGATGGGATAGCCACGTTGGACAAAAAAGTGTCTCATTTCCAGACTTTTGGCTTGGACGTCCTCATCTTCACTGTAAATGCGGCGAAGGCATTGAGAAAAGGGAATCGACCTTTTGGTGTGGTGGGATAGGAAGAGGAAAATAGAAGATAGCTATGGGAGATTGATTAATTGATACAAGAATATCTAAGAATGATACACTGATCTCACTGTTTTCCCGTGTGAATTGGAGTGCTGGATGGAAATTATTAACAAAGTTAATAAAACGTTCCAATTCCACACGAGAACATGATGCTGTGCCAAGACAGTTATCTATATGTGCCCACCAAGGTAATCAGGGATGGGATCAGTGTATTGTTGGAAGATCTGTTTTTCCACAAAACCAACAAATACTGTAAATTAGCATAGTTGGGACACATGGATACACAACTCTCATGGATACACCACTTATCTTTTGGTAATGCTCGCCATGAAAGGAAAAAATTGTCGAGGGTGAGCACTAACTCTGCCAATCGGACCAAAACAGCAGCAGACGGGTTCCTGATTAGGGCCCTTATCTAGGAAGAACTTGAGAGCCCTTAAATGCGGAATTACGGTACATAAGGATTTCACACCTGTCATGTATTTCTTGCCTAAAATTCACAAACCTGACAACCCAGGTAGAGCCGTTGTCTGCTTGTGGCTGTCCCACCGGACTCATTTCTTGATCGTGTCATGGCACCCTTGGTTAAGGACTTACCATCTTATATCAAGGACACCAAACATGCTCTCCATATCTTTCAGAACATTCATTTTCATGGCACTCACAAATTTATCTTCACCATAAATGTTTATAAGGATAAACTGTAATTTCGCATCATGATGCTTTAAGGGCTTTCAAATTCTTTCCAGATAAGCGCCCTAACCAGGAATCGTCTACTCTTGTTTTGATCCGATTGACCGAGTTAGTGCTCACCCTCAATAATTTTTCCTTTGATGGTGAGCATTACCAACACATAAGTGGTGTAGCAATGGGAACCAAAATGGGTCCCAAATATGCTAATTTATTTGTTGGTTTTGTTGAAAAACATTTTCGAACAATACACTGATCCCATCCCTGATTACCTTGGTAGGTATGGAGATGACTTTCTTGGCACAGCATCATGTTCTCGTGTCGAACTTGGAAAGTTTTATTAACTTTGTTAATAATTTAAATTTAAATCCAGTTCACATGGGAGACCAGTGAGGCCAGTGTATCATTCTTAGATATCCTTGTATCAATCAATCAATGGTAAAAAATAGTTACTTCTGTAATCTACAAGCCTACTGCAACCACATCTATCCTCTATTTTCCTCTTCCCACCCCAAACACACGAAAAGCTCGATTCCCTTCTCCCAGTTCCTTCGCGTTCGCCGCATTTGCAGCGAAGAGGAGGACTTCCAAGCCAAAAGTCTGGAAATGTGACACTTTTTTGAACAACGTGTCTATCCCACCTCTGTATTAGACACTGCCTTTTCGAAGGCTTCTCAAATTCCACGATATGAGACCCTTACAGACATTGTATCCAATAATTACGGAACCACTCAGTATTTTAAGAAAATACAAAATAACAGTAACTCGAATAACATTTTGATTTTTAATCGACGATTCGACTAGTTTGTAGTCATCCTCAGGATTAAGAATAGTGTTTATAGGGTTATTTGAGTCAGGTGAAAGTTCTATAAGGGATTTGATGTGCTGAAAATGTTCGCGACAGTTGATGTGGGCTTTGATAGTAAACGGCGAGTTTTGTTGATGAACGTTTTGGTCAAAATATTGCCATATCTGCCAATAAATGGGAGTCTTATCCATATTTTGGGTAGATCATCAGGTGTTGCGCGTTCTGTAAGGTCAAGGTGTGGGATGTTATTGCTTCCTTCCGGGTTTGGTGCAAAGGCATTAATTAGTTTCTTGGTCAGGTTGCGAGAGAAACCGTTCCAGGACATAAAATCTCGTATAGTCTTGAGTTCTAACTTCAATAGTTGATCATTGTTACATATTTTGTTGATAAGGGCTCTATCCATGCTGTTTTCCGCGACCAAGGCGTGAAACTAGAAAGGTGCGTGTATTGACCTGTGTGTGTAGACTTGCGAAAAATAGTTATGTCCGAGGAGTTAATCTTTAGGTCAAGAAAGTGTACGTTGTTGTCAGGGAAATCTTCGAACGTAAACTGGATTTGAGGGTGGAATGAGTTGCACGTTTGTAGAATGATTGGGATATTGGACGGTTTTGTGAGAACTAGCGTATCATCAACATACCGGGCGTAAAATTTTATAACGTTCGAGTCAATTAATTGGCGTACAATTTCATTCTCGAAAGTTGTCATGATGATGTTGGCAAGGGTAGGACCTAGTGGAGAACCCATTGCTACGCCGTCGATCTGTTTGAAGAGTTCGCCGTTTATAGAAAAAAGGGTCTTGGTACAACAATCAAGCAGTAGTTTCTTTAATGTTCGTTTCTTTAGAGTGGTGTTGATCTCTTTCTTGTTGTAAATTCTATCAAGGATTATGTTGATGGTTTTCTTTAGGGGCACATTAGTGAATAGGGACTTAACGTCAAACGAAACAAATCTGTAACCGTCTCTGAAAAGGTTTTCTGGTATGTTCTGGATCCGAGAAACAGCTTCAAAACTGTCTTTTAAGGTGTGGGCATTCATGGTTAGAGGATTGAGAACTCTTGTAAGGTATACATGGCAATCGGCTGATAAGCAGTACCAGTGGTATCGATGATGGGACGGAATGGTGCTAAGGTATCAAATTCTTTATGGGTTTTAGGAAGGCCATGAGCTCGAGATGGTTGAGTCGATTGAGGTTGTACTTCAGAGTATACATCACTTGTAATTTCTCCACGATTATAAATAGTTCGTAGGTAATTTTGGAGGGTTGTTAGTTGAGTGAGGGTTGGATGTGATTTAAGTTTGGTAAATTTGGTTTTATCAGCGAAAAGTCCGGTCATGAATGATTGATAATCGTATTTCTTGAGAATAACGACTCCGCTGCCTTTCTCGGGGCTTAAGATGGCGTATTTCTGGCGGAGGTTTTTAAGGATTTTAATGCACTTATGATCAACATTTAACTGGCGGTCATCAAAATCAAGGAAATTACAGGCTAGTGCTTTGATTGATGCTTTTATTTTCTGTTGCTTGATGAAACTGTCTGGCAGGAGATTTTGTTTATTAACCTGGTCCCATATCGATTCAGCCGACGCGGTTACAGCAGATTCATTGGGTCGAGTCGCTAAACCATGTTTGAGACCAAATCTTAAAACTGATTCTTCTTCTGATGTTATAATGTCACCTGTGAGATTAGTGATAATTTCGTTCGGATTGTTCTTAATTCCAGTGGATATAGCATGTTCTTTCAGGAGGGATTGAAATTTGCGTTCGTGACGTTGGGATACTTGCAATAGTTGCTTGTCCATGGGTCGCTGAGCGTGGTACTTTAATTTGATATTTTGAAACCAAGTCGTTCGGGAAGTGATTGATAACTTATGGTCATGTAGAGATACATCTTGTGCTGTCTTAGGGAATTGTGTTGATCTTGAATAGTCTCTTTTAGGATCTTTCGGTGGTAAGCGCTTCGAAGATTGTGTCGTTTGGATTTCAAGTTCTTCCACCGAACAAATTTGGGAGTAATAATGTGGTCACGACATTTGATCAGGAAGGCGACATCAAGCTATGTCTTCTTAACTTTATAATACAACTTCTGTAAGGTCACAGCAGCAGCATGAATGGATGGATTGGTGGCACGGAGATTTGGCCAATAATTACGGGAACCACTCAGTATTTAACGAAAATACAAAATAACAGTAATTCCGAATAACATTTTGATTTTTAATCGACGTTTCGACTAGTTTGTAGTCATCCTCAGGATTCAGAATAGTGTAAAATTACAGATGCAGCTATTATTATAAAGCCAAGAAAGGCGGAGCATAATGTCAATGAAATATGATAAGTTCTTTGGAAGCTTTCGCACCGTGGTTGAGATCAGGTTTTCGTCTGCGTATAGCAAGAGACTCCTTAAATAACAACAGAGACCAGTGGTCTGACCTATAAATTATTTTACATTTCCTAAATAGTAGTTCAGTTAATTTAGTAGGTAATAGGAAAATTCCCCTAGTATAAACTTATCATCCTTTCAATTTCAAAGTTTGAGATGTCATTAGGAAGAATTCCCATTTTTGAAAATCGTTCCCGAAACATCTTCCATTTTCTCCGATAACCCATTATAGTTTCTTTTCGACACAACAAAAATATCCGTGAAACCCTAGTTCGTAGCTCCTTATCACATGATTCGTCGTCACACAGAATGACGGGTTGCATGCCGGGTTGCCAAATGCGAAGCCTGTGATTTTATAGTTTTTGCGACCACCATTTTGGCATCTAAATCTCTATACCATGTCAAGCATCATTTCAGATGCGCGCACCTTCTTTCATCTCATCTACTGCATCTCATGGAGTAGATGTGGCATGCTTTATATTGGGGAAACTGGAAAATCTTTGAGGACAACGTTTGGTGAGCATCGACGTGCAGTCATTGGCAGTGATGCTAACCAGCTTGTTGCCATACGTTTTAATACTGGCAATCACAGTGTTTCTGATATGGAAATTCGAGCCCTCTGTTCCATTTCTGGTAGCATCGATAGCCGCAAAAGACATGAAATGCGCCTCATTTCCAAACTTGGCACTGTCCACCCTTATGGCATTAATGAATGTTTTCCCTATGTTTAACTCTGTCTGTCTTTTCCTGTCAAAAGCAGACCTTGATAGTACTTTTAAATCTTACCTTAGTCCATACTTGTTTCATATGTTTTGTTGTATTTGTTGTAGTTTTCTGCGTATTTGTATTAATCCCCGAGCCAACGGCCCGGAGCGCCTTCTGGGCGTAAGCTTGGGCGAGGGTACTAATTCCGCTCGGCTATTTACCTCCGGGGAAAGAAAAGCATTAGCGAAGTCTAAAGTTCATCAATGATCGCGGGCGTGGGTTACCGTGCGTGGGTGTGAGAGTGGTCATCCTCACTGATCTCAAAATATAGCGGACTGTCGACGTCATGAATAGCGAACACTGATTGGTCCAATTTAAAATTTGTATTATAACGACTGCATGACGACAGCGAAATAACAAATATTTCTTGATTTGATGATTTCTTGCAAATATATTTCATTTTTGCAAGATTTTGTAAATTTCTAAAACGTTTTGAGAAAAAAGTGGCGAAAGAATTGCTGAAAGCCTTACGAAGGCACCGACGTTAACGAAGTTACGTTTGTTTTAAATATTGATGTATTGTTTGCTTTATATTTGCTTTAAAATCAAATCGTTGCGTACATTTTAAATGAAAAAAGACAGCCATAATTTGAATGTATCTTTATTGATTACCTTTTTTTATTATATTAAAATTTTTAAATTTAAAAGAAAGCAAAGTTATTTGCATGCGAGAATTTGAAATCATTTTATTTCAAACTTAACTTTTATCGATAAAGGCAGTTTGCGAAGCGGTTGTGGTTGAATTTTACCTTAAATAGAAGCTTATATTACGTATAATAACATACCTAACATTTATATGTTTAGAAAATTGATAATTTTGTAATTAAAAGTGGTATTTTTAGGGGATTTTTAATTTGTAAAAATATACTTAATAAAATTATCGTGTTACAGTGACAACCACTTTAAATACTCTGAGTGTATACCCACACCGGACAAGCTTGAAAAATATGCCTGGCCACGATGGGAATCGAACCTACGACCTTTGGAATAGTAGCCGAATGCTCTGCCAACTGCCTGAGCTACGCGGTCAGGTCGGGTTCGAGTATGTGATATTTCGGGACTGAGTCTAGTTCCTTCGATATTCGACTGAGTCTAGTTCCAGGCATATTTTTCAGGCTTGTCCGGTGTGGATATACACTCAGAGTAACATCACAAACATCATATTCACCTGAGTACACAACACCAACACAGAAAAAATCATATTATACTTACTAGAAATACATGCATGCAGTATTCAGAAATGGCCCACTGAACGCATGCTCGCGCTCAAGTGTTGCCATGACAACACGATATTCTTAAATTTTTAATTTTTTCATATTTTTTGTACAAAACTGCAAAATAGTTGAAAGATTCGTACTTTTAACTATACAACAATAAATTTCCGAAATATATACTGTAGGTATATTATTTTGCATTTTGTGAGCTTTGATTTTAATAATGTAAAATTTAACTTGAAACGCTTCGTAAAATGTTTTGAAATGTTCATTCAACTATAGTTCATTTGCCAATAAACTAATAATAAAACGTAATAAGTTACAAATAAAACAAGTTGTTAGGTAATTTCAGTTCAGTCTTCAAATCAATTTGTTCTCCTTTACATTTTAAAATTTTTATCAAATTAAACGGTAATTTATGAAACTCAGAGCTGAAAAGGAAAACAGTTCATGTTTTTAGGCAAAAAGTTTAAAGCAACAAAATTCGTAAACATACTAAACATTAAATATTCAAAGCAAACTTGCCGTATATTTCACGATTTCCCATAGTAAATCAATTCTTCTCATTTCTTCAAACAAAATTAATACATTCCCGTAGATTTGCCATCTTTATAACAGTGAACACCTTGCGACTAAATATTTATAAAGCGACATCTTGCAGTTCGGTTTCTTTTTCGGTTTTATAGAAGTATTTTAATCATACTTTTCATTTGTAAATAAAGTAGTGATTAAACACTGCACGTAGGCCTAAGTGATTAAGCTTTTTGACTTGCAATCATGTAGTTAGTTGCTATATTACAGTACTACTTTTATAACATGGTACATACAAAGACGAGTCTGACTCATATAGGCTGTGTTTGAACCAGGAAATGGTTATTGGCTGTTTGTGATGTTTTTCCTTCGCGGGCGATTGTATAAATTTATATTTTTAATCCATGCCATGGATAGAAGATCTGAAATACGCAGAATATTGGAGGAAATTATCTCCGAAGACTCCGAAAGGAATAGAGATAATAGTGGAAACCGTCCTGTCCTCATCAGTACTTCTGTGAGTGGTGAACAGCCGTCAACTAGCCATCATGATGTTCCAAGTCAGCCTACGAGTCAGACTCGTCTTTGTATGTACTATAAAGTACAAGTATAAAAGTATTACTGTAATACAGCAAACTACATTAACTTACAGTAAATGATTGCAAAAGTCAAAAAGCTTACGTGCAGTGCATGTTTAATCACTGTTTACACATATAAGTATCTACTTTATTTACAAATGAAATTAAAGTATGATTAAAATAAAAACCGAACTGCAAGATGTCGCTTTATTTAACAATTATTCGCCGAAGGCGAGGTGATTATCGGTGAATAAAAACCGAGACGAAGTCGAGGTTTTTATTCACGATAATCACCGAGCCTGAGGTGAATAATTGTTTTAGTATAATTTCATAGGTGATTATATGGAAAAAATAAAAAAAATACACATCTCTTCGTCATTTAATTGACAAAAAGGCTTCGGCCGCCATTTTGAAAATCGCTTAGGTGATTATCGCGTAATAATCACCTCAACGGCAACCAATCAGCGTGGAGAATTTTCAATAATCACCTATGTAATTATACTAAAAATATTTAATCGCAAAATGTTCGCCGTTTTAAAGATGGCAAATCTACGGGAATGTATTAAACTGCCTGTGGTGGATGTTATTTTTTTGCGGTATACCGCTGGTCAAAAGCTATTGAATATTTTTTGAGGATTGTTTTATTGAATACTTTTTCGCCGCATTGAATATTTTACGGTGTAATTTACTGAATATTTCAGATGTTGTATTGAATATTTCACAAGGTTATTGAATGTTTTTGCGAAGATATTTCGGTAATTATTGAATATAAAGCGGTTTATTGAATATTCTAAGTGTGTATTGAATATAAAATGTGTGTATTGAATATAAATTGTGTATATTGAATTTTGCTACAATACGGCAACCATAGTTGTGTATGAAACGATTTTCCAAATATATGTCTTTTAAAATTGAAATTTTGCTCATCCCACTCCTACAAGCAATCAGCCATATTTTTGAGATCAGTGAGGATGACCACCCACTCAACATCGTTGGTGACCGACGCCCGCGCTCATTGATGAACTTTAGACTTGGCTAATGCTTTCGTTTCCCCGGGTGTAAATAGCCGGGGGGAATTAGTGCCCTCGCCCCGGGCTTACGCCCGGAACGGCGCTCGGCGCCGTTGGCTCGGGGACAATACATATAATAATGTCAGCAAGGCGAGGGTTTCTGTATGCATGCATGCATGTATATTTTCTAGTATATTCTGTAATGTGATTTACATTTTTTGTTCATACTTTGTTTTGCCTAATCCATCTGATTGGTTTATTTTTTTGTCACGTGATGCTTTTATATTCTTAGTATAAAAGCTCATTAATTTTCCCGACCCCGCTAAGCTCATTTTCCCGCACGAAGTGCCTTCGCTCGAAACGTCGAAATTCTCGGTATATTTTTCAGGTAGTTACATCCCTACCAGCGAAAGCTTGTTAATATTATTGGCACTACCTACACTGGCACAGATATAATTATAATTATGTATCTTTCTAGGAATCGTTGATTATTTGTTGATATAGTGTAGCAGGTTGGTGTACAGATTAGCTCCTAGTTGCCACAAAATCTTGTTTTTCTTACCATTTACGTATTAAAGTACTATTTTATAAAAAGAGTGAAATTTCAAAGTTCTCTTTTAGCAAATATCACCTATATCATTAGAAAGATCACAGAAAACTATGTGAAGAACATATAAGCGGGTAGCACGGTTTTCCAAGCCTATCCCGTGCTATTAAGTGTTAAACGTTTTAAAGAAACCCCAGCTAATACTATATCTGCAGACTCTATAGAAATATTGGAGTTAAGCTCGAACTAGCAATGCTATGGACGACGGTAAATTCATTACAAGAAAAGTGTATTCAAAGTCAAGCAAACCTCCTGCTACCCAAGACCAAATTCCGTGTACTAGGAGTTTCGGCACAAAGACGACAGCAGAAGAAGATCAAACAGTTAAACAGCTTGGTGAGAATTCTCCATCCAGGGACTTTGTCAAGAGACAAGTTTGAAAGCCGGTTTTAACCTCGACATGTCGAAAGAAAAACTCGAAAAGCAACGAAACCAAAGAATTCTCATCATGAGCAAGGCAAAAGTAGAAAATCAATGAAGCCAAAAATTCCTATACAGGGTGTATAAAAAAAAACGCAACCTCAGAATTTCCCAAGAAATCGACATGGTTTTAAAGACAAAAGATTTTAGGCGCCTGGGAATTTAAAATAGCACAACTGTCAAAATTATTGCACACGCGAGTGGATAAAGCAAAATTTATGCATTTATTTAATGCACGACAACAGTAATATGATCTATTAGCAATTCGATTTCAATTCCCACGGGCCTAAAATCTTTTATGCTTAAGAATTGCAAAGTGATTTCTTAGGAAATTCCGAGGTTGCGTTTTTTTTATACACCCTGTACAAGCTGAAAACAATAAGATCAGTGAGCTGGAACGAACGATCAAGAATATTGAACAGGAAAATGAGTCGCTCAAAACAATTATGCAATGAGTTCAATCAAGCACTCAGTGAAAAAGAAGACAATGAAAATCATCGCCCGTGGCAAATTTTCAAGCCAAAACAGACCATCAACTTGAAAGGCAAACAAGACTAAAGAACACGCGAATGGACAGCCCAAAATACAATTCATCTAACATCCTCAAATCAATATGAAAGCCTTGAAAGCAAAGAAATCCAAGAGATCGTGACAGAAACCGATAAGCCAACAAATGTAGAAAACAAGGATAAACCTAAAAATAATGCAGAGAATTCCAAACGACGCATCCACCGAAAAAGCATGGCTGTACAGTCATAATCGGCGATTTTCTACTCAAATGTCTTCGCCAGCATTCAATATCAAAAGCGTTTAAGACTAAAACGACAGTTAAATGCTTTCCAGGAGCGAAAGTTGATCATTTGAATCACTATTGTATTCCAGTTTTGGCAACGAAGCCTAAACACGCGATCATACACTGTGGAACAAACGATCTACGGAATAAAAATCCGCAAGAAATAACCAAGCAGATGGGGGCTTTATGTGATTTTATCGTGGAAAAATGTCCTGATATTCATATCACGGTATCATCTTTGATCACTAGAAATGATGATCAAGACAAAAAAGTCACCGAAGTAAATACGCAACTTCAATCACTATGCTTACAGAAGGATCTTATAGCTTTCTACTGCATGACAACTTAGACAAGAAATGTCTAAATCAATCAGGACTTCACGTAAACAAATTCGGAGACTCTATTTTAGCAAAAAAAAATTATTGAAACAATAAAACGTTTTTAACCTAGAGCCTGAGTATATTCCAAGCTGCAGCACACCAGTAATCAATTTGACCACTGCGAGCATGCCTGAATATCCTTTAATATCAAATGAAGGAAACTTAAGCAAAAATAAACTGGATACATAACCTTTTTACCTAAATACATTGATCAATTAAGAACTTATCTTGTCAACAAACCAGTAGATATATTCACAATTAATGAGACCAGGTTAGATGAGTCTATCAATGATGTAGAGGTTAACATCGAAGGACATAACCTCTATAGAAAAGATAGATGTAGACATGGTGTTGGTGTAGCTATATTTACACTAGGGATGTCTTGAATGTGAGGGAGATGTCCCTGTTTGTTCCGGAAAACATCGAAGCCGTTTGTCTAGAAATCATTAAGCCTAAATCTAAACCAATATTGCTCACTACTGTTTATCGACCTCCAAGTTCTAATGCTAGTTTTATGGACGATTTGGAAAACTATTTCCACATATTAGATCAGCAAGACAAAGAACTAATTCTCACAGGGGATTAAACCTCTCTCTCCAGTCTTGCAAAGCCATTCGCGTAGACTTATGGACATCCTGGAACTATTTCCAATAAATCAAGTGATAACAGCTGCCACACGTATAACGGGTAACACTGATTCATTACTTGACATAATTGCTACAAATCGTCCTGATAAAGTAAAGGAAAGTGGCGTGTTCCATTTAGGCATTAGCGATTACAGTCTTGTATATATGTGCCTAAAAAATATCGTTACCTCGCGAAAAACCCAAGATTGTAGAAAGTAGAAATTTAAAAAACTATAATATTAATGACTTCAACAACCACATTTCTCATTTATTGAGTAATGCGGCTTGGAATCATAAAGACCCAGACAAATCATGGGATCAATTCAAAAATATATTCAACTACGTATCAGATATTTATGTTCCATGCAGTTAAAACTAGAAAAGTTAGGAGCACTTAATATGCTCCATGCATGGCTATAACTACTGAGATTAGGTGTAAGATGAATTAACGTGATTACTTAAAAAAGAGAGCAGTCAAAAGTAATTCTAAGAGTCTATACATCGAGTTTATAAGGCAAAGCGAAATGAAGTAAACAAATTAATTAGATCCGCAAAATTTCGATTTTGTAAGGATAATATTGATTTAAATAAACACAATCCTATAAAGAAATGTGGAAAAATATTAATCAGGTCATCAGCGGAAAGGATCGGTATTCTAAATCCACCACCATATCCGTGATGAAAAGCAGACCAATTCAATAAATACTTTGTTGAAATTGGTCCAAAATTATCAAATAAATTGCCTGCCAGTCCTAGAGTTTTTTCAGAATATATGGATACAGTTATCCAGTATATTGATAAATGATGACACTGTTTATAAGAAAATAATGAAACTCAAACCTAATAAGGGAGCTAGTCTAGACAAAATTCCCCCAAAACTAATAAAGGACTCTGCAGTCGTTATCACACCCTATTTGAACCTCATTTTTAATCTATCCCTATCAGAAGGGAAATTTCCTGATGACTGGAAAAAGGCTAGAGTTTCTCCAATATTCAAATCTGGAAATCGAGAAGAATGCGGCAATTACAGACCCATAAGTATTTTATCCGCCATTTCGAAAATTTTCAAAAAAATTTTATTTTACCAGTTAAGTCAGTATCTTATTACAAACAAGATTTTAACTGACTATCAGTCAGGTTTCAGAAAAGGATACTCTACTTGTTCTTCCTTATTAAGAACAACTAATGAATGGTTAGCTAACATGGATAAAGGCTTGATAAATGGCGTTGTCACAATATATTGATTACACAATATATGTCTGAATACAATATTATGTCACAATATATTGATTTGTCACAATATATATTACAATATTAAGTCACAATATATTGATTTGTCACAATATATAGTATCTTACACAATATGATGTCACAATATATTGATTTGTCACAATATATTGATTAAAAAACTAGAACTTTATGGCCTCAAAAATAATGGCCTTCGCTCGTTCATCTCACATCTAAGTCACAGGAATCAAATTTGTATAGTAGGGATGTCTGTTTCAAATAGTGAAAACATCACAACAGGCGTGCCGCAGGGGTCAAATCTACAGTCTGAAAATTGCTACATGTTCATTTCCACGAAAAATGCATTTAACCTTGTACAAGACACTTGTGCTAATTTATTCTGCATAAAAATATCAAATATGATTGTTATATATGTATTGGCGACGTGTACTATTTACGTCTTTAGTTAAGGTGGCTCTGCTAAGTTGCTCAAGTTATACTTGCTTTCAGGTTACATATAGGACAATCATGGTCTTACTTTAGTAGAAGTTGTACAATCAAACAATCAAAGTTCAATCGCTTTTTTATAAATAGGACCATACTCCTATGAAATATCTGTTTTTAAATATATATTTCAGTTATTCATAAAAGAAGGCAATCTATACGATATTAGATTGAAATTAAGCCAATGTGTTTAGATAATTGAGAATTATTTGCGCAAGTAATGTAAACAAGAGAAATTTTCTACTTCATTTTACGTAACAAAGAGTAATTGCAAGAGCTTATTGCGATATAATAATGCGCTGCAAATCAGTATGTAATTGTTATAGCCTACGTGCGGGCCGCCGGGCTTTCTGTATTGTGACACTCCGTACTCAGTGACGTACAGTATACTCAATGAAACAAGAGCTAAGCGAACATATATGAATTTGCGCAAGTAATGTAAACAAGGGAAATTTTCTCCTTCATTTTACATAACAAAGAGTAATTCCAAGAGCTTATTGCGACATAATAATACGCTGCAAATCAATATGTAATTGTTAGACGCGCGGGCCGCCGGGCTTTCTGTATCGTGACACTCAGTACTCAGTGACAGTACTCAGTGACAGTACTCAATGAAACAAGAGCTAAGCGAACATATATGATTTCACTGTCTGCAATAAAATGTTTTTAAATGTTGGCATAAGTGTCGCAATTCTGTTTGTTGGTATTTTGTAGGAAAATTGTGCCTTTGGAAAGGACAATCACAGTACTCGCCATAACACGAGTTAAGACAATGTCTATATCTCATATTAAGTTTGGAGGTTTTAATGAGTAATGTCAATTATTGCTTCAAATCTACAATTTGTTTTACCTATTTGCCATGAGATTGTAAGGACAGTAACAATGAACAAAATGTTGTGTATATTTTATGTATTTATTTACAATCCGACGAAAAATTAGGCAATTACTGTGAGTACTGTTCACGAGTACTGTCAGTTAGTTATTAAGCTACTAGAGTTCATTTATGTGTATATATATAGATTAATATTTTGTCCGATACGGCACCAGACTTAATTATTTGGTCAACATCACATCATAAGGACGACCCAATGTTCAATTGTAAAGCCTGACACCGTCTATGCCTCTATACAATGGCATCAGCAAAGCTCTTTTTTGTAAGAAATTTCTGAGTGTCCGCTCTGCTGTACGTGGCTATAAATACGATTCGTTGTTGCGCACGCGATATATTCCTCATATCTATAATTATGATATGTTGGATCTTACACAGCAAGATTAATTATAAATTCTATTTGTCAATTGGCGTGTGTAGCTTTAACTGAAAATATGTATAGGCCTACTAAAATATATCTATAATTACGTTGTATCAGTCTGCCTTTATAACCATTACTGTTCGGTTCAAAATAGACATATATGCTATTTGAAGAGAAGATTAAGGCCCGGCCTACCCAGAAATCCGGTATCAAATTACAGTATACAATATTTATTAATATCTACCTATCATTCAATATTTAGGAATACCAGAATGACTTTTGAAGTGTTATCCAGTAGTACAAGAACATCAGTACATTTATGAATATTTCTACAACTGGTGTTCTAAATTTAATACATATATATGTCAAGGATTAAAAACATAATTTTCGGACAGTAGGTCCTCTTTTACTCTATATAAATGATTTACCGAATTGCCTTGACTCTTCAGTACCAGCACTTTTTGCTGATGATACCAATCTTACTACCAGTGGTTCTACCGCAAGTGAGATTCGAGATAATTTAGAAATTGAATTAAATAAAGTTCACATGTGGCTTTTAGCCAATAAGTTAACTTTGAACGTTGATAAAACTGAGTATATGCTAATTGGATCAAGACAAAGGTTGTCCCAAGTTAGTTCTGATCCAATCTTCTCGATGGGTTCTGAGGGCATCAAACGTGTTTTATCCTCCAAAACGCTTGGCGTAGTGGTGGATGAATGCATCACCTGGAACGACCATATTGTTAAAGTGGCCAAAAAAGCTGCAAAAGGGACAGGAATATTACGGAGGTCTAAACATTTATTTGACAAAGATACGCTTAAAACCATTTATAGCGCTTTTGTTTTACCTCATTTTGATTATTATTCATTGGTATGGAACAATTGTTCCAAAACCTTGCAAAACAAATTGGAAAAACTCCAAAATAAAGCCGGCCGAATAATCACAGGTGATTGCTACGAAACTGCCTCAGAAGTTGTTGGAATTAAACTTTCGTGGGACACCTTAGAGGCAAGGAGAGAGAAACAATTAGAAACATTAATGATACAAATAATGAAAGGTAATTCAACTGATTACCTCCGCAAGTTTTTCACAATCTGTACGAATCAAACGTATGAATTAAGAAGTAACAATCATGTTATCCACTTGCCCAAACCTAACACTAGAGAGGTTAAGATACCCCGGTTCCGGTTTACGGGTACGAGTGTCGCCATTTTGTTTACCAATTTTTGCTGATGTCAGCAATTTTACCCGTAATTTCTACACGTTTCCCCGCGGTAAACAGTGGTCTACACGTAAACGAGAAACGGGTACGGGTGTTTTCTGTTTACTATTTTTGGGCCGTTTAAATAGTACAAATTTTC